AAAATATTGCTATTAAAAAAAACAAGTATTTTTTTTTATGTTGTAAATATCTTACTTGTATTACAATAATTTTGCATTTATGCCCATACACCGCACCAGCGCGGATCTGGGAATACTTAGTCGCCAATTTGGGAATACTTCGTCGCCACCTTCTTTTTTGTTTTCTTCTAACATTTCGAGGTTACAATTTAAGAAATTATAGTATTTCTTCGAACAGCTCGGTGGGGGGGGGGGGGGGGGTAATTACCCTTTTACCCCCTTGTATCTGCGCCTTCCCATACAGTCTTACATTTATTACCATTATGGAGCGTTTATTCACATATTAGATCACATTAATTTGCATTTATTACCATGATATTGCATTTATTACCATATTACATTTATTCCCATGATATTACACGTATTACCATGATATTTCATTTATTACCTTATTATTACTTTTATTGCCATAATTTTGCGTTTATTAGTGGTTGTTTTATGTTTCCGGTTTTCTCTTCCCGAAGCCTTATTGCAACTTTAATTTTTCGTGGAACATTATTTAAGTTGATGCATTAAAAATCTTCCAATAAATGTGTAAGTCCTTGTTGGATACCAGTTTCACGTATGTGAAATAACAAAACAATTGCCGAAATTCTCGGTGTATTTTTAAAAAGAAAAAATCATAAAACTGGCAGTTGACAAATTTAAAGTCTTTAGAGAATTTGGTTGTGGGTTAATCAGTTACACAACCGTATTTTAATAGATCATATTTTTGATGTTTAAGTCGTTAGTTGATAATCTGTAATTTTAGGTTGTTCGATATTGATGTATTTATTTATGACTTTTTTGGATACCGGTTGTATACGAACATTTTACAGTTATTTGGAAAAACACCTGTAACATACTGTCATGAGACCAGTCTTATCATGCTCTAATCCCTCTCTGCCTTTTTTGGGCCTATTACTGCCTTTTCTTTTATGATTTACAAGAATATTCGATAGAGTGGATAAAAACCTCCTAAGCCCTCCGTGATACGCATATGCTTGATCACGGCTAGTCAAAGTGAACTATTTTAAATAAATTAGTGTTTTAGTATAAATTAAATACACGCTAAAATACGAATTAAAAAATTAATGAAAACAAGCAATCCCTGGTGAACATTTTTAAAGATTGCTGTTGAGATTTGACTTTTTTATTGACATTAAGGTTTAAGTGGACCTCCGTAAAAATTAACTACAAATTCAAAAATGTTCAAAAAATTTATGGGTATATATGAGATATGGGCTAGTATCTTCCCAAATTTTAATCAAAATCATTCGAGTGGTTTTTGAGAAAAACGAGAAAAACTGTTTTTTCCACATATAAAACTAAAAACCTGCTCGAGCGATTTTAACTATATTTTGTAAAATGATTTATTTTGCTAAAATAAGAATGTGCCATTTTTTTGAAATTTTTGAATTTACAGTTTTGACACAAAAGAAAAAAAAATATTTTAATATACTCATAAATCATTTATTCATACGTATTTTTTATAAAACTTGTTGAATATAATTAGAATAATAAACTTATAAGCCTTTAACAAAAGAAATTGTGTTACTGAATTGAGCGTATTTAAAAATAAATAAATAAATAAAACCATAATATGATTTAATATTCCCACAAGTTCTACTCCATAATGATCATAAAAAAATGTGCTTATCTTGTTAATCATTGCCTTTGTAAACTTTTTATCATATTCAATCGTTTGTGTATGTGTAGTCCTTTAGGTGTCCAAATCACAAAATCACAATAATTTTTCTTAGAAATATAAACTTGTCCTTCTACTTGATAAAAATATTTGTGATTCTTTTTTAAATACATTACATCGATCTTTAGCTAAGTAACAACAGAAATGTTTAATAGAACTTGCTGCTTCTAATGGTATATATTCCCGGGCGGAGTAGAGACATTTAATTTCAATACTTTTGTCATCACCAACCAGACCGTCAGGCGATGCTCCTAAAAACCCGTATCCTTTTTCAGTGCAGACGAATAATCCACAAGAATGCACAATATTTTTGGTTAAAGATGTATATGCTTCTCTTGCTACATCTTCGTTGATCTTTCCATATTCCAACTGTATTAATGATGGTAATTTTTTGTACATAATTGTCTCAACCAATTTTCGGAAGTATTTGTCTCCAAAAGTAGAAGCTGTGAGACGGGATTGTCTCTCCTCGAACTATTTTAGGTTATTACTCTGACCTCTTGTAGATTGTTCAATTTTTGTACTTACTTCAATTTAATAGATGACATATCTTCGATAGCCGCTTCAGAATTCACAGCAGGTCTGTAATATAATATTATTATTTTAATAAATTATACAGTGTGAGTCATATCTATTGGAACAAAGAATCGCACATCCTGTAATAAAATCAAAAATAATAAATTAAAAATATTCCTTTCATAACGTTATGCATCTGTGTCAACTTTAATAATATGAATATTTTGTAAAATTATTAGCAAAAAATTAAAACAATATTTTAACTTTACCACTAGCTAGAAACCATACGGTTGGAACGGAAATGCAAAACCTATATTCTATTTTTTTAAAAGTTTATTGTCCAGCTACCTGATTAGATACCATAGTGGCGGTTTGCCCGTAAGGGCACTTGGGCACGTGCCTTAGTATAATAAACCAAAAACAAATAATAATATATTTTATATTTTCCTAAATGCCTATTATTATTTTATCTAATATTCAGCGCAAACCGCGTTGGCACGACACTGGACGACCGGGCGTTGAGCGACGTTCCGAGAATTGAGAAATTAAGTGGAAGATGCGGGAACAGGGCACAGTAAATGTGTGCCTCTGTTGTTTTATCTCTCAGTATGACGCGAAAAACAAGGACAACGACAATATCGCTAAACATAAAAATACAAGTGGTACGGTCATTTAAAGTTAAAGGTAAGAACAGTAGATTCTAAGAGTTTCAGATTTTTATCTGACAGGCAACACGCTCATTATATAACCTGATGAATGCAATTTTTGAAAATTTCAAAATTTCAAGCAAAGTTTTTTTTGCAAAGAGTGGGCTGCTCAGGTTGACTTGTGGCTGTATTTTACCTATGATATATACACTTAATTCCTGAGGAACATAAACTGCTAAGTCTACGCAGTTAAGACGCTAGAGTCGATTGAAGTTCACGAAAAATCATTAAAAAACACTCATTTTCAGCACGCTGCCGTTAATCAGAGGTATTAACTGAGCATATTATCGATGCTTACACTTAAACTACTATCTTTCCCCCTCAGAATTCCGCTTTAATAATGTAGTTATCTTCAAAAAGGAAAATTTCAGAGGAAAAGTCGATAAGGCTTTAAAATATAGATTTTTTAAAGTCTTTATTTAAATAGGCGGAAACGAGTGCTTATAAAAATCAAACTCGTGTAAATTTTCTTCTTTGAGACCCTAAGGAATAGTTCTTTGAAGTTACACCAAAATCTAAGATGGGTCAGCTTTGCCAATTAGACGATTTTTAATCGAATGACTCGCTTGCAATTGATGCAAAATGAGCTCCAAAGGTATTAGACTCAGATTATCCAAATCGGAAGATGAAAAATTAATTTACGAAGTGTCAACGCATCCATCGTTATATAATTTACATCATAAATTGTATAAGGACCAAAATGTATGGGATAATGTTTGGAAAGCAATTCGCTCCGTGCGCGACAGCAGCGCTAATTCGATTTGGTACTAATGGACTATTTCTGCGTATACTGACAAATACAATTTTTAATAGAATTCGTAATTAAAAAGTATATATGTTAGGTTTAATAAAAGTATATGGATTTGTAAAACAAGTAAAACATTAATTTATTATTACTATATATTTTTATCGCTTAAATAAAAAAAAATTATGTATAATCAATAAAAATAAATAACAAAATATAGACAGGCAACAGTATTTACTGAAAAATGTATGAGAAGTTGCCTAAGTCTAATAAGTTGTCATTGAAGAATTAGCCTATTCTGTTAAAATAAAAAAATACCATTTAAAATGTATAAAAAAAGGATCGTTGTTTATATTTTCATTTTTGTTCGAACGAAAACATAGAATGAATGATTAAAACTGGTTTCCCATCAGTAAGTCACAAAATTGCATTCCAGCCGCATATAATAATCGAAGGCAGAAATATTGAAGTCTAGTCCTTGCTGAATGAACATTTAAGAATAAAGGGATATTAAAGAACATCGTAAAATGATAATTTATTTTTTATTTAAAACCTTTCAAGTTTCTGATGTCTACTATTTCCAGCATTACTGTTATTATTACAAAAATAAAGGTAATTTTTCTTCTTATTGTACACCTATCCATTTATTTCTTTGATTTAATTTCCACTTTGCTACTGAAATTTTTTATATAAGTTTCACTGTTTTTTTGCTAGTATTTGTACAATTTTCAACACACCAACTCCGGTTGCTTATTGTATTATTTTTACCTACTTTTGTGAAAAAAAGTAAAATGTATACATTTATTTGATATACCAAAATTACAAAATATCGCCCTAAAATGCACGAATTATCCGCAGTTAGCGCTATTATCGCTTTTGCTTCCCTTTCCATGACTTCGCACGGAGCGAATAGCAAAAAACATGGACAAAAGCATTTAGTAGAATTTTTTTTATATCAGTTGATAGAATATTTAATAGTTCATTAAATTGACTTTTGGTAAGCCTAAAGTATTCTTTGAATTTAGTTTTGTCATCAATTAAATGTCTCATTATCATCGTACTGAAACACCCATCCTTTTTTCTTTAAACAAAAATTTTATGAACCTTTCTACGCTTTTTTGCATTAATGATAGTAGCAAAATGTCATCGTGTTGCAATCACAAGTTCATTAGTAGTCATTTTTATCGAACGAAATAAAAAATACTGATAAGCGACTAGTCGATTACTTGAGGTGGAGGCGTAAACAGAACACTAGGTGCGATTAGGTGCGTCTAGACGTAAGCGATTAAGCGCCGCGTCTAAACGTCTCGTCCAAAAGAGACCCTACCTTACATTTCTAAAAATATAATTTTCTGTGAGTTAAGACACTACTTGTTCTTGGCCCCCCAGTAATTACGACGCTGCTATAATCCTTTCATTATTTTATCATTATCTCTAAGCTTTTATTATTTTGAGAACTGGTCCAGTATCACTTATCATAACTATGTCTTCAAATGAAGAAAAACAAGATTAAAATGGTAGTCAATAACTGTAATTGATTTTAGTTTATAAGATACTTTAGTGAGTTGAAGTTGTTCTCCGTAGTTATCTGTAGTTGTTATTTGTCCTTTTTGGTTTGTCAAGATGGTGAAGATCGGTGAAGAGGATGAAAAGAAACCTCTGTTAATGAGGAAGTCGTTTGGATCCTCGTATTATAGGTAAACGTTTAGATTTATTTTTATTAAAATGATTTATTTAGGTTGGAATAATTATTATACGAGTAATATCGATGTTGTGGATATATCTGCAATGTACATGTTTATTATCAGCAGAGTATTGTTTTTAATTTTTGCTGCATTTTATAAATAGAAGGATATAAAGAAATTTAAATATGTAGTATGAAAGCTTAGAAAAATGTACTTATTGTATATTTTTATTATTTTTTATTAACTCAGTACCTATTTTAATATTTTCTCAACTAATGAACTAATAGAAGAGTAGATTAATGAAGTTCATAGATTAATAAATAATAACTCAGTACTGTTTATGATTATATTTTGTGGATTGATACAAAATTAAGTAAATGGGAAATTATTGAAGTATGGATTTAAATATAATAATGTAGATACGCTCAATTTCGTAAGAAAGTAATAAACATTCATTTTCTTTGAATTCTATTTCTTCTAATACTTCTTCTTGGATATCTGCTTCAGTATCAAACTATCTTTATAAATTGAAATCAATATTACATTAGTTCCACCATTGAACAAGAAATATGAACAAGTTAAATTGGAATGATTCGTTGAAATTTGTTTAAAATATTAAATATCAGAATTAATCTAATAGGACAAATAAAAAACAATAATTATATTTACGGTTTAAAGTGTTGTATTAATAAATTTACATTTATTAACACTAACATTTTAATTACATATCATTTTACTAACCAACATTTTAATTATTAATATTTTTAAGTATACAATTTCTTTTATTTCTATTTTAATTTATAAGAAAGTATATTAATAATAAAGGAGATGGATCAGTACCTTCGCGATTTTAAAATAAATACTGTTGAAAGCTATTCAATTGATTGAATGTTCTGAAATATTAAAAGTTAATAGGATACATCCTAAATTTCAGGTATTGGCGTTAAATATACGTAGTCTTAACAAAAATTTAGATGAATTTAAAATTTTACTTCAAAATTTAGACCATGACATAGATTGTATAATTTTAAGTGAAACAAGAGAGATTTAGATCAAAGTTTATTTAACATAGAAGGTTATACTTTAATATACAACGAAAGTAAATTTAATCAATGCGATGGACTTGTAGTTTATATCAAATCAGATCTTAGATGTAAATATAAAATAATAGAGAGTGTTAACAATATTAACATATTACAAATCAATACCAATCTCGAATCAGATATGACTATCTCCATAGTAGCTGTATACAGATCTTTAAATTCCGCGGCGCTAGAATTTATAACACACCTAGAAAACTATTTAAACGAAAACGATAATAATTTTAACGATCTAGGTATCTTGATAGGAGACATATTAACATAGACCTTTTGAAAACCAGTAATATAATAATTAATTCGGACTATTTAATCATTCTAAATGAAAACGGCTACATCTCTACAATAAATGAACCTACAAGAGTGCAGGATAACAGTAAAAACTGTATAGACCATATATTTTTACGAGCAAGACACAATTTAGATGAAAATATTTTACCAATTATTCTTAAAACTAACATTACCGATCACTATACAACTGTACTTCAAATAATCTTAAATAATAAAACATATAAACAAAATGATAAATTTGTAACTTTTATTAACGATAAAAAACTAAATTTCAAAATTTAAAATGGAAATTTATATATCAATTGGAAGATCCAAATAATGCAACAAATAAGTTTATGGAAACAACAATGAAAGCTATACAACAATGTACTGAAACTCGATACAAATCAAGAAATAATAAGATATCTCTTTGGTTAACTAATGGCTTGTTATACTCAATTAATAAAAAAATGATATGTTTAAAAAAATTCACAATGTCCAAGAAAATATTGATTTGAGAATTGAATACAAAAATTTTAGAAATAAACTAAATGCTTTAATTAAAAAAAAAACCAAGTATAACTATTATAAAAATGAAATAGAGTCAAATTCAGGCAATGCACAACATTTGTGGAATATAATACAAACAATTAGTCATACAAATAGAAGTAAACCAGTTATAGAAAACATCAAAAATAAACAAATAAAATTAATAAAGCTAACGAGTTTAATACCAGATTTAAAGAAGTAGGCAAAAAAATTGTTTTTTGACACATTTAATAAATTAACTATCAATATATTTATTAAATCAGCCTGTAGTCAATGAATTTGATAATTGTACATATCGTAAATACAATACATAAAAGTCCCGTAAAAATACTGCGTTACACATTAATACTTATAAAAAAATATATTGGCCTATGTCGATATTTACGAATCACCCTGTATAAATGGCACTTAATATCTTTTGTAATATCATCAGACATGATAAATATAGCAATAACCGTTAATAAATAAGTGATATTTCTTAAGTTTAACACCCTGTATCTCAAAAACCAGTCATAGAATTTGAGTGGTCCTATGAACACTATTAAGAGTTCGAGAACTGCCAACATATCAAAAATTTATGACATTTAACAGATCGCCACTTTTCCATAAGCAGTGTGCGGGGTCCTTTGGTCATCTCTATAATTTTGAGGAGGCGATATATTTTGTCCACAAATATTTCGATTACTTCAGAAATTACTTTGCAATTCGATTTTCTCAAAAAAGAATTGATAGTTAAAAACAGGAAGACCAATGATTAAACGCTCTTTCATTTGATTTTTTAAAATAATATTTTTCGTTTGCATGTTCAGACGACTACAGATATGAAGAGACCTTTTATTTTGACCTAGAAGAATGTTAATTACTTAAATATTCTTATCTAGCGATACTGGAAATTAAAAAATTTCCACTAGCAGAAAATGCATCCGTTTCTTAGGACAACATAATATTTATCTAGGCTTATTTATTATACAATATATCTTAACTGGTATTGAGGAAAATTTAATGTAGAATTAAGAAAATAGAATTACTATTAACGCGTTTTCAAATATAATCTATATATTTATACATATTTTTCCACTGATTTTTAAAAAATAATTGTCATACAAATTTCAAATACCCATTGTGTATATATATTAGTGACAAATATAATAATCTGTTTCGTAAAATGGAAAAATTCTAAACAAAATTTAATATGGTTATGTTATATTGTCCTTAATGTGAAGTTTAGGTGACATATCACTTTAGTGTCACAAAATTACAGATTTGACATATGTTTTAAATAAAACTACAGATAGATATTTCTTGATTTTTGGAAAAAAAATTGCGGATTATAGTCAAAATTCAAAAATATGGCCTTTCCAAGTTGGAACTATTTTTTATTGCGGATGTTGAAAACTACCTATTACTTGATAAAAGCGTAGTAATTTAGATTCGCGCATGCTCTCTTGTGCGTTTGTCGAGAATTTGATTTTATTTATCGCAATTTTATTTGTGTTTTTATATTTTACATAGGTTTTAAGTGTTTTTTTGATTATTTATTAAAAACTATTTATGAGCATATTGCATTTTAAATCAATAAATATTTCTAAATTTTATGTTGTGTTTACTGCAACAATCAATAGATAAGGCAACTTAGGTTTGTTTGGTAGCGATATTAAGCTGAGAAGCAAGAACGTATATTCTTTGATCTGTGTCAGTTGGCCGGGAAGCAAATTATTTTAAAAATTATGTTTTCATTACAGGCGACATTCAATTAATTTTTTACGTGGGTTCGATTACGTTTTTTTTTTAAATTATTTTGATATTTCCATAATGACAAATATTCAATTTTTTTGTTAGTGATGTTTTCTTGTGCAAATATGGAAAAAATGTTTCATGACGAAAAATATTTTTTTTTTAAGTTGTTTCTCTATAGGTAAACATACTGCATTTTTCCAAACAACAAAATATATGGTTTTAGATCACTTCAATTTTTCATTATATTTTTCTCGAAAAATGCTGTTTTTCTAATTTTTTTGCGAAAATTTACTATAGAAACTAGTTATTTTTGGGTGTTGACAAATTTTTGCAAAATTCGTACCTGAACTCGGCGAACAATTCACTCATGTTCCAAAAAATAAAAAAATTGAGGTTAGAAAAAAATGGTTATATTTTGAAAAATTCCGCACTTTTTTGTAAAGAATTAGTCTCTACTACATTCAAAATGGTTCTATTTTTTTTCTAAATGGCTTATTTTTTGTGACACTAAAGTGTTATGGACCCGAAGTTTATATAAAACTTGAAGCCTTCAATTTGGAAGAATCAAACTCACCACTTTATTTATATTCTTTATTTATTAACTGTTAATACAAGAATGATATCTTTCTAAAAATGTTGTATATACCCATCGATGTACTTACTACCTGAGCGATAACAAATCAACACAAGAAATAAATAAATATCCCAGTAGCGTATCAGTAATTTTTACAATATATAACAGGTTACAACTATGTTGTTTTATAAATAAAGTTATGAAGTTTAACATCCATAAGTTACGATGTTATTGTGCTATGTTTAAAGAATTCTAGCTCCCTTAGAAAGGACTATCGGATGAGGTGATTTAAGTCAAATCGACTTAAATTTAGAATTTGCAGTGTTCTTTCGTGCACTATACTATCGCTTATTAAAACTCTTAAATATATACTAAAAATGCCAGAAAAGCACCAGTAGCGTTTTATACCACTAAACAATATTTTATAAGTACTTATAAATATTTTATATAAATTAAATGCTTATCCTTTTATAAATAATTTAATGGTTTACGCACGCCAATGATCCTCAGTAATTATTATAATAGGTTCTTGTTTTGCTAACAAACAGACTATAATCTTGTAGGTATTCCGTGTTATAATCGTCGTAGATAATCCTCATAGGAATACCTCGTTATCTTTCCCCGAAATCTTCCAGTGTCAGAGTTGTAGGGGTTCAGTATTATTAAATTAAATAAATCAAATTAGTACGGCCCAGTTTAAAACTAAAATTGAAGACTTTTCAGATAAAAAATTCAATCAATTTTAAATTAGATTATAAAAAAGGTATCAATAACTTTTCTTTTGTTTCAGTATTATGAAAAATGATGAAAAACATTCAGGGCTCTTAGTAGAAAGACCGGTTTATCAAATAGAAGAATTAAATAGGGATTATGAATATGAAAAACCATATCACACAAGTAAGTACGAAACATTTTTAATGTATTTTATATTTTTTAAATATATACATAGTTTCCTTTAATGGAAATTCCAATACTCAAATGTGACCAATTTAAAAATAGAAATAAAGAAAAATGAGAATATCTCGAAGACCATGTAATTCTTCTCCGGAAAACAACCACTCCTTGGCTAATACCACATCCAAAGGATATAATTCAAAAGATATACAGACTATTATTCAAAGGAGTAGTTATTTGCCAGATGCAAACGGTCGCACGACGTTTTTGTGACGCGGTCTTTTAGTTTTCCTCATTTACTTTTTAGCCTTTTAGCTAAATTATGTTAATACACTGGGAAAAACTTTTGAATGTTAAATTTGTCTTAAATTATATTTAATTAAAACCCAAAACTCATGTCCGAATTCAAGAAACATCTGTCAACCTCCATCACAACCAGTATAGCGAGCTTATACGGGGTGTCTAACAGTTCACCACAGTACTCCCCCCTTAGTGTTAACGAAATGTATTTTTTTTGTTTTGTTAAACATTACTTAAATCTTTTCCATAAATGCGGGTTTAACCCTAATTATAGATATCACCTTTTCTTTATTATTATATGATATTTTAAAAAGCTTGTCATTTCTGCCTAGTGCCTTTGTACGGTCCTAAATATGAGTACTGAAAGGTTTTTTAACAGTATTATCTCAAACAAATACATGAGAGCGCTTTAACCTTTTGACTCATGGTGTCTACAATTATAGACCATAAATTTCTAGTATTCGCCGTAATCACGATTGGCTTCGTTTTGGATTTACACGATCTTGTATACATTTGTAAACATCCCTTTAGGTATATAAGCTAGTCTGCACTCAGTCTGCAGTGATATCTGTCATGTACAAGTAGTAAGTTACACAGCGAGATACATGGTGATTCCACGTTAAAGATTCGAACTTTTTTAATTCCAAAAAAAATATCGAAAGTTATTGCTCATCCACTAAATGTTATATTTTGTTACGTATTTTATACATATTTTGGAAATATACCTATTTTAGTGACACCTATAATCTCGTGTCTCCAATTGTAGACATTTGTACTATTTATTTACCATTTATCTTCCATGCGGTGCACATGGCACATAAATTCTTGAATAGAAAACAAAAAGACTACCAATTACTTGGTGGGTCAGCAAAAAAATGGCGGATTTATTACAATTTAGAATGAAGGTATGGAGGTGCTTATCAAACAAGGGAATGAAATTTACGGAAAAAAGGTGGGGAGACCTTCAAAGAATGAAGTCTGTACCCAAGCCGAAGAAGAACGGAAGTGCGGCTTCCTACAAATATTTAATTGGCTGTCAATGATATGCCAAAGCACGCTGAAACGTACCTTCCTGGGCATTGTAAGAATATTGGTTGTAAGGGCAAATTACGATGGATTTGCATTAAATGCAAGGTACATTTGTGCTTTCAAAAAGATCGAAACTGTTTTTTGAACTTTCACCAAAAATAAATGGGTTTGAGTTACAGTTTTTTTTAATAATTATTGTTTGTTCTATTTTCTTTTTTTTAATAAATATATATTTCATTGACTACATATCGTCGCCCTTATCACGAAGTGACCTAACCAACAAAAATTAAAAAAAAAATTCTTGACCTACTTTATCATCTCACGAAGTGGCACATCTACAACCTTAATATTGCATGCAATACGGCATATTACTTCTGTGTTCTATCTACAATAACGCAGAATATTTTCCTCACGAACTGTTCTAAAAAATCCCGAGGGTGTTTGACCAATCTGGAATTACCAAACAATAAAACAAGGCCTTAGCATTCTATGATAAAATTTTGAAAGCGCAAACTCTAAATCCCTCTATATTATGTCAACCTGAGAATTACGTATTTTCGTTTTATTGCTCTTGCTCTCCTGTAAAATTTACTATTTGTTACTTATGCCACTTCGTGAAAAGGGCGACGAATGTCTACAATTGTGGCCACTTTTTTTTCTGATACCTCCGGGGGAGGGGTACATTTTGAAAAAAGGATTTCAAATGAGATTAAATATCATATTTTAAAAATAAAATACCGAAAAATAATTTTTATCTCTGGAAAACATAATTCATGAGTTAAAAGATATTTAAAAATAAAAGTGTTATGTTTGTTATGATTTGATCCTTGAATACTGTTATGTGAGCCATTTCATTATTCAGTCATGCTCTAACCCTACAAGTCCCTCTCTGTCTTATTTGGCCTTTAAGGCTCAACTTGTCCGATTATTATACATAATTAAACCCCTTAAGACCAAACCTATGGGAGGACTATGGCGAAGGTGATTTCGATGATGTTCGAGAAAGGACGAGATAATATTTCTGGACTGTTCGAAATATTTCTGGTTTGGTGGAGAAGCTTCTCGACGCCACCAAATTTTAGAAATTTGTATATAAATAATGGTGGATGAGCCATCATCAGTAGTTGTTATATGGACAGTGAAGATAAATAGTAATTAGTAGATAGACAGTGGTGAATATAAATAGTGAGCGATTCAAAGACATTCGATATATAAATTAAATAGTTATGTTATAAAATAAATAAGTGTTTAAATAAATTATTAATAAATAAACTGTTGTTTGAAAATAAACAAACATCACAATACATTGTTTCACGTAAATTATATAATAGTTTATTTTTAATTGGATTTGAGTTTTCTGACAGCATTTCTCCCGGGATTCTTAAATTAGCTTCATATACTAGTTCAGCAAATGATGAACCCAGTCTTCTTTAGCCGCTCTTAATCCTAAAAGAATTAGAGGAGGTTTTTCGGTCCATTTATCATGACCATGACATTTCAATGCAGATTTTAGAGTACGATGCAACCTTTCAACCATCCCGTTGGCAAATGGATGATATGCAGTAGTGTGAATGTGTTGAATTCCAAGGATTTCTGAAAATTCTTAAAACAATGATTCAAATTGATTGATTTCATATCTTTGGCAGTGGTCGGCTGTGTTTGAAAAACTACATTTTTAAATAGTCCCTAAAGAAAAAATCTAGAGTGGTTAGTAGTCGGGTGATCTAGGGGGCAATTAGTAGGGCCTCTTCTTCCTATCCATTTTCCAGGAAATTTTTGATTTAAATATGTCCTCACATCATGCGAAAAATAGGCGGGGGAACCATCTAGCTGCAGCTACATTTTTCGTCTAATATTTAAAAGAAGTTTCCAGGAATCTTCCTTCAAAAATTTACTGTCTTCCTATCATTCCACCATAAACGTTTAACGACCACCGGTTTTGTCAATCTACAGTTCGAAATTCATGTTTATTTTTGGTGCTGTAATAATGAAAATTATGTCTATTTACAAATCCGCTATTATGGAAAGTAGATTCATCAGTAAATAGTATTTGATAAAAGTAAATATTTAGAATTGTACGACACACCACTGGAAAAAATGCTTTTTTGGCAATTTTAATATCATTAATTGTTTAAAAATTAATGAAAAGCGTAAAATAAACAAATTGGGCGGGTAACATTTATTACTCTAGACTCTAGAGTGAGACATATACATATATACGTACCAAGCTGTATGATAACCAAATAAAATGAAAAATATAAGTACAAATTAGGGGTCTCCAAACTAAGGCCCGCCAGTGTCATCAATCTGGCCCGCGACAGCTAATGGCTTATTATTGCTGTGATAAGTTGGATAAAAAAACAGAATGATAATAACTCTCATTTATTTACTTGCTAGATATAGCTTAATGACAAGTATAATAGGCAGAAAATTTAACTTAAGGATAATAATTAACAAATAATTGAACTAAATCCCACAGAATGCTACGAGTGCTTGATGTACTTGTTACGCGTCCTCTCTCTTTCCTTGTCTAAGGTCTAGGGAGCTTATACGGGATGTCTAACAGTTCACCACAACTTTATTTTCCATTTCAATATATTTATGTTTTATTTATTGTATATTTTAGTTAAAACAAGATGTAGAAAAGCATGTCAGTCTATAAAGCCAGTATCTTGCCTTAGAGAAACAATACCTTTGTTAAAATGGTTACCTGAATACAACTGGAAAAATAGTTTTTCCCGTGATATAGTTAGTGGCATAACTGTTGCCATTATGCACATACCTCAGGTTAGTACATACTTATTTTTATCGTTACTTGTAAGAAATTAAAATAATTCACAAGGTACAAGGTTACAATTATTAAATGGACTATGAGCTGTTTTAGATACTTGGAATTTTTTTAAAGGAAATTTGTTTTATTAACGATGTTATACGGTGAATTATTATGATGCAATATTATTTGGCCAGTGTACTATAATTTTTTTTTAGTATTCATGTATCATAAACCATCTGAAACAAACCAAAAAGCGTGCATAATCGGGTCTCTATCACACGCCGTGCGTATGAAGGGTGCTAGGCAACCGCTTCAATAAATAAGATTAGATTATGTCAGATTTTATTTTGAATTGTCAAATTAATAGAATTGTTTACAATTTTACATAAATCAAGTAACATGAACAGAAAAATTATTGTAATAATTAAATGAAATGTCAAATGACATCATTTACCTACCCACTCGATAAAATGCACGGATATTATTAATTTGCATTTTTCAATTACTACGATTGTAGTTATTACTACTATTACTATTGTAATTCAAACTAAAAAATATACTACAATATATGTATAATGCCTTACTTGATTTACATACTTGATTTACATACTTGATTTACATACTTGATTTACATATTCAATTATTTTTTGCCTCCCTTGAAATTAAAATTTTTTTTTCTTCTTTCGAAGCATAGCTTTTCTTGTCTTAAATACATTTTTTAATAAATAATCATCAAAGAAATAACCAAATGATATTTATAAATATAAGTAGATAGGTAAGGGCAGCGCTCGGCTTAGCAGGTTCAGTATTGTCTATCGATATCTTTAGTTAAGCAAGACCGCGCAGTTAGTACTTGGATGGGTGACTATTTTAATGACAGTCGGAGTAGGTACGCATACCACAGGTAGCAGACTTTATATCATGAGTATGAGGTATAGCATTGGGTATGCCGTCTTTCGGAGGAGATATAAACTCTTCGATCCCGAGTCCATAGATCTTATCTTGTGGAAAACCAGAGCATTCGGCAACATTTCTGGTATTTGAGGGTAGGATGCTCACCAGCATCGGTGTTCCCAGCTAGCACAAAAACATTCCATCCACGTTAATAAGCTGCAATTTTAGGCTCTTTAAGCTCGCATGCAATGTACTTTTAATGTAACCCTAATATCCATGCGACCGCCGAATGTCCGCTCCTGACATCCCTCAAATAGGATGTTTACCAAAAATTTTAAATTTGTAACTCATTTTCTGTTCGTGTGTTTGTTAGTTTATTAGATGTCGTTTGTCCTTTATCTTCTTTAATTTGACGTTCTTCTTTATAATGTTTACAATTTTGACGAATAAGTAATTTTTTACCTTTAATTTTTTCAATTATTGTATTACAGTGGTTCTCTTTTTTATAGTGTTCCGATGAAGGGTTAAACAGCTGAAAACGCATGATGATTATTAAAACCTTACACACTTTAAAATACCTTTCTGCATTTTATTTTTGAACTATCAGTGTGTACACCCCTACAACCTTTAATTACGTCTCCTAAAGATTACAAAGTGAAGTTCGGAAAACGTCACACTAGCACTTTTACAGTACTTTTGCCGAAAGATGCTCTGTCACGTTTTATAGATGTTATAATAGGTCTTTTCCTTTGCATCGAAAGTGTAGGACCGAGCTACACCACTTCTGAAAATATCGTTCCATTTATACAAATTGTATGGATGGAACAATATTTTTAGAAGTAACGTAGTTCAGTGCTACACTTTCGATGCAAAGGAAAAGACCTATAATGAATTAGTTCCACAGCATTATACAGTGTGTGCATGGATGGACTTAAGTATACTTGTAAAAATATTTATTTTAAATTAAAAAAGTAATTCTTCATAATTTCTTTCGTTTGTTAAATAAATATGATTTACGTTAAGAAATTATGAAAAATAACTTTTTTTTTGATTTAAAATAAATATTTTTACAAGTATAGTTAAGTCCATCCGTGGATACACTATATTGTTCTTTATGTAATGTAATACTGAGAAGCTGAAATGACAGTTGGCCGGGTTAACCCCAACTCCCATTTTTTTGGTGGGAACCACTTTGTCGCTTCTCTGTTGTTATTCTCACTAGCGTTTACACATACCAATTTGTACTTTGGTTCCGGACTGCCGCCTGCATATAGTTACTGTTGTCATTTGTCATTGTGATTTAACAGATTTTAAATTTCGATCTGATCTCTAAAATACTTATTTTTATTTATGTTTTTCATTTAAGAATCTGAAAATCAGGTAAATGTGCTTGTACATATTCCAGTTTATACTTGATTCCAGATATGTGCAAGCATACCGGTGCAGACATACTTGACAATCAGTGCAAACTATTTTATATCTGCAAAGTGGTTGCTTTTCTTCAACAGTGTAAATCTCAGTTGATGATGAAGATAATTGCACCTGTCATCCCATATCACATTTTTTTTATCATAGATGTTACATCTAAATTTAAGCTGGCCTTATGTCTAGCACTTATCCTTTCAAATAATTGATCGCGTACAAATTTCATTAAAATATGTATAGCCTTGCCCAATCTTTCCACTATTCTTCCATTTAATTAAATATATTTTAAAGTTTTATTAAAGTTTTATTCATACATTCTACATATACATGTTGGTATTTATGCCACAATCTAAACCCATAATTGGAATAATATTCTTGGAAATATAGCCCCAATTCAAATGTATCACTATTAGCTAGTAACAGAACAATTTACATGTTTCTTGCAGTAATGTTCGCAGGTTTTTATTCACTTCATCCTAAAATGAAATCATACAGTTAGTAGTGGTTATACTGGTTAGTTTTGTTTTTATTTTAGAATGCCTGTTTCTATTATTAATAAGCAGTTCAATTTATTAAGTACCTGTTTCTTTTTGGATTTTAACTTCTTCAAATTTTTGCGCCAAGTTCGTATCACATGCCAAAAATAAAATAATCTACAACAGACATTAAAATTTGTAAAAATAAAAAAATGTATCTATAAACTTCGTAAATTTTAGAGCACCCACTGTGTGTATCCAGACATAAATATCTCGGACTGTAAATGTTTTAAACAGGAAAAAAAAATATTCATCACTTATTTATCAGTTCTATTTGAAATATAAAATGCACATGGAAACCCTTCTCGCATATCATCCAGGATAAGTAATGTTATTAATTCAATGTTATATGCATTTCGGCCATCCATCTCATCTGCACATATGCAGTTACTGCCATATTTTTCAAGCATTTCTGTTTGACCTTTGTTCATTATAATTAAAACAAAAGCTTCCTTTTTTAATTATAAATATTCTTCAGACTGCTTGTCTGAGCTTTATGAAAACAACACACACCTAGTGTTTTTAACCTGTTTAATCCATGCTTCTACACTTAGAGCATCTTTTGTATGTCTAAGGGAATCTTTGTTTAAATTAAAGTACTGCTCGATATTGAATGAATCTTTTTTTGTAAGTAGATGTAATCTATCAAGTGGATCTCCACTGACAGATATTCTTACTTCATCAAGATTGGTCTCAAATGGAGTTTTTAAGATAATTTTAGCAGCTCAAGCTTCTCTCTCAGTTTTACTAAAATTTAAACGTCCTAATTTATTATTTTATTAAGACCAGCAAGTTGTGAGACAACTTCTGCTTCACATTCTCCAGTCTTTAATATATTTCCAGTTATTTTTGCAGGACAAAAGCCATTTATTTTATTATCTACTGTCTCCTATTTTTAAATGACGTATACCCTTTCCTTCAGACTTAAAAACACCAGATCGATGGCATACTTTATTTTTTAATAATTTCGCGTAATGTATGAACCATGTTTATTAATAAACTAGGAATGAGTTTCTCTTTCTGTTTGAAGCTTCCAGTTATAAAAATGTTCTTTTACAGAAAACTTTAAAATATTTGAATTGCTTTAAAATGACTCCGTATTTCTGAATCTGTCAAATGTTCAATATTGCATAAACAGCATTTATATTGTTGGTTTATGAATATTTTTATGTCTTACAATATTACTTTGAGAATTAATTTTGGTTCTATTTAATCTACCTTTCTTATCTAGAAGAAAGTACCATTATAAAAACTAGTTCATCATTAATTTACAAACAAAAATGCTTAAACTCAGAAACACTCAAGATTTAAACATACCAATCTTCTGACATGTTGCTTTAAATTGGAATGTTTAGAGAAGAATTAGCAACAATTGCATACTTTTTATTTGGGGCAATTTCATCTACCTTATCTAAAACAAATGTAAAAACAATTTTTATAAAATATTATTTAACTATAAAATGTAAAAAAATAACAATACTTAAGTACCTGTGACTCTATTAACAACTTACCTTAATTAAATTTTTTTGGATGCATTCGTAAATTACAATTCTTTGAAAATTATTTGTTGCACACTGTAAATTTGAAAGCCATTATGTTTGAACCTACAGGTAGGTATCTTCAATTATTATAATAAAAAAAAAAAAAGTATTTTTAAAGGTTACGTTGAAATTCGAAATAATTACAATGACAATGACATTAACTATGCGCATGCAGAAGTCAAGCATCCAAAGTACAAAGTGTCTCGGGACGTACCATGTACGTGTATAGATTCACTTTTTATAAAATTTCAGTTGTTATATATTCTTTAGACAATTCTGTAGTATTAACTTCTGCTTCTAAAATTCCTAGAATGTCATCAGGTATAAAGGAAATCTAAAATATAATATTAAAATGAATTTTTAAAGTCTATTATTACCCAGAAGTTAGTTTTGTAAATCTCTTTTATTATAAGTATTTGATGTAAAATGTAATTGGGCATTTGGTTTATCTGCCATTCTTTTTTTTTTATTGAGGTTGAACCATTTTGTATTGGATTCCTAATAAATGAACTATTAAATTTACACCAGGCAATGTAATCTGAAACAAAGTCAATGATTTAGAAAATATTTTTCTATTTTATATATAAACCTTACCAAATCTACTCAAATGTATATATAAATAATAATATAAAAATTAACTTCTCGTAGCTAAAAAACGACCATAATTCACAAACATGACAAATGACAAGAAAAAATGACAATTGGCATAAACATAAACGTTCCGAATTCAGATTGTGATGTTTACACATACTTTGATTACTATACGGGGCAAGAGAGAGGTCCGACACGCCCAACATAGGGCGCGGCCATTTTGAACCCTATGACACAGTTTATAGCTAAAGAATCAGATCGCTCACTCTGCGTCGGCACTTTTTATCTCAATGTTCCAATTTATACACTGCGCAACTCAGATAATACAATATATGACAACCGCCTATAATAAAACAGCAGTCTTCTGCGTATCCTGAATTTGTATCCCTGGAGAGGATGTTATTTTGGAACTTTCAACTGGTCCGAGTGAGCTAACTGATTCTTTATCAATAAACTGTGACTCCAAAAATAATATTCACTGACACTAACAGCAGCAAGCAAAATATCAGGTGCGTTTTAATCATCCGCTTCTGCTTCCGGAATTGTCGGTTCAGTCGTTCTAACCTGTCAAATTAAAACAAGAAAACCGACAATTCCGAAGCAGAAGCGGATGATTAAAACGCACCTATTAAAAATATTGCGCCAAGATGTAGGCAACACGTAATAAGGGTTCAAAATGGCGGAGTTTTCTATCTCCTTTTAAAAGGCACTCAGAAAGCTGCGCAGTGCGACCATTCTCCGTATAGTAAAAGAAAATCAAAGTATGTGGATGTTTATAGTTCTCGTGGATACATTTTATAGCAAATTAAATTATTACGTTGTGTTAACATAACAGGCCGTTACATTTACGTTGTATAGTAATAATATTACGTTCCCTTAAAACACATCGTCGAAAGGCTTAGCAACGTCATGTGCTAGTAGGGTTTAAACCTTATAGTTGGAAATAGGCCGACGCCGACGTGAAATAATTTAATAAAAAAGAAGTAGGTAGCTATTTAATTAAACAAACATTTTTAGGGTATGGCTTATGGAATGCTAGGAAATGTTCCTCCTGTGGTAGGAATATATATGGCATTTTTTCCTGTTCTAGTCTATTTTATTTTTGGAACTTCAAGACACAACTCCATGGGTTAGTAAACTTAAAATAGTTTCTATTTCTATTTTTATTAACAATAAAAAATAACCAAATAATTCTTTAAATAATTAAATATAAATTTTTATCAGCTTACTACTAGAGTCATTACATTCTAGGTAAACGTAAGTTCAAGCCATTAAAAATATAAATCCAAATCTGAGCCTAAAGCCTAAACATCGAAATCTGGGGCCGTTGACCACGTCTGGAGAATACATTGTACAGAATCAACAAAAATTATTATTGAAGAAAAATATTTTAACAGAAAATAGATGTATAAAAGGAACATGTAAATATGTGTTTGATGTATGTATTGGAACTCTCTCTCTGTTATGTGCATGTTCCTATTCTAAAGTATACTTTATATGTTGAAAATTCAGTACATATATATCTAATGGCTTGAACTCAACTGTATTACTGTTATGTTCTGGAATAATCTGATACAATACTAAAACATTCGCTGGTATATTTTATAAAAATTTGTCGGCTCTTTTAGGTACATTTGCGGTGGTATGTTTGATGACAGGCAAAGTAGTTAGTCAGTATACAACGATTGAAATCATGCAAAATGGGACTCGGAGGATAATTAATCCGGATAATGGTGCTATAGGTGGACCGAATATTCCACATTATACAAATGTTGAAGTAGCTTTAACAGTAACGTTTACGGTTGCTATTATACAGGTAAATTTTCGATAATATCATATATTTTTTTATGGTTCCAGTTACATAAACTAATTTTTTCATTTTGTGCAAAAAAATAAATAGGCAGCTGTTTTAATTATCAAATTAAATTCGTTTTGTTAAAATTTTATGTTACTGGAACTTTTCTAACGTTTCTGTATATCTCATGTATTTTCTGCAGTTGGCTATGTATATTTTAAGACTTGGATTGGTCTCTCAACTTTTATCTGAAACATTAGTCAATGGATTTACGTGTGCATCTGCTTTTCACGTCGTAGGGTCACAACTGAAGGATCTCTTAGGATTAAGCATCAGAAAGCGTAGAGGAAATTTTGCATTTCCCATGGTAAGTTCCATTTTTATTCTCTGAAATAAAAATAATGGTAATTTGTTTTTATTTTAGACAATTTACGATTCTATAATGGCAATTCCTACAGCAAATGTCAGTTCACTGCTAGTGTCTTTGCTTTCTTGTACTATATTAATTACAAACAACGAATTGTTGAAGGTAAGCCGAACACTTTTCTAAATAATATTAATTATGAAACATGTGTGGAAGATCCGCTATTAAACGGACATTTACTTCTTAACAACCTGTATTTTTGAAGATATTTAATTTTGAGAAACTTTGAGTTGCAACAATAGAAATTATTACAAGCGGCAACATGTTCCCTATTTAAAGGTTTTAATTTTACAAGAGGACTTTATGTAAAGATGACATTTTTTAAAACATGTTACGGGTTTTATTCTACCTAAATCTATCACATGACATGAAATTATTTTACCCTATTCTTATCTTATTTTATGTTACTGTATCACCTAGCCTATCCTAGCATAGGTCTTATGATAGCCGTGTGAGTCCATGCGACGACTCTGGGGGAGAAACCCCAGTTGCGTCGAACCGTGGGGCGCACCTAGGGTTTCTCCCCCAGAGTCGTCGCATGGACTTACACAGCTATCGTAAGACCTCTGCTAACATACGGTACAGTTGTCTGGGTACCGAAAACCCAAAAATTAACAGCTATCTGTAAACTAGAACAAATTCAAAAAACAGCATGTCTCAACATAACAGGAGCCATGAAAACAACACCGACTAGAGCCATGGAAGTCATTCTTAGTCTCACTCCCCTTGATATTTACATCAAGGAGGTTGCTCTGACGACAATGACACGCCTCCGCATGGTCGGAATAGAACCTGATGTAGGATTTGGTGAGGTGAGACGCCACTTTTGGCAGGAGGCGCTGAATACGTTCCCACTGCTTCAAGCGAAATATATCTTTCATAAGTCATATAAAGTTATAATAGAACAAATAGAAGAGCCGAAAGTGGCAGGTACGATTCATATCTACACCGACGGTTCTAAAACAAGGCTCAAGATGTGGAATATACTCCAGATTCTTAAACCTAAACATAAAATAGGCTGTGAGCAATAGTGCCAGTGCAGTTCAAACAGAGCTAACGGGGATTTTCATAGCAGCAAAACAAATAACCAGAAATAATCACTGGAAGGAACATGATCATCTATACAGATAGCAGACAAGCACTACTCACCCTGAACAGACCACGAATTTATTCAGGGTTAGTACTAGAATGTCACGAAGCTTTGGCCGAAGTATCCATCAACAACGTGGTCACCATAAGATGGATTAAAGGTCATGCCACATCGAAAGGTAACCATCTTGCTGATCCACTAGCCAAGAAAGCAGCCAACCAAATACTTTTTGGACCTGGTTCTTCTATTGGCCTGACAAAATCGGTAGTGACAGACCTAATCAAAGAATATTCCCTAGTGAAATTCAAGGAAAGATGGGACGAAACAAAAAACTGCAGAGTTGCCAGGGAGCTCTTAAGTTGTCCTGACAACACTGCAGCAAACAAATACTTGACTATGACTAGACATAATCTGCGCCTAGTCACAGGCATTCTGACTGGTCATTGCCAAGTACGAAAGCATCTCCATATCATAGGGCTGTCCGAATCCGCACTCTGCAGAGGGTGCGAACAGGAAGATGAGACGATCGAGCATATCCTTTACAATTGCTCGACGCTCTCATTTATTAGAAGATTTGTGTTCGGCGAGTATCGGCTAACACCGACACATATAAGAGAAGCACCTCTTGGCGAAGTTGTCAACTACATTAAATCTGTAGGCTGGTTCACGAGCTAGTGGGTGCCTATCTTCTCAGGAGGATGCACAATGGGCCTAATGAGGCCTAAGTGCCGTGGGTTAACCCACTCTCCACACGTTACAGATACAGATAGCCTATCTTATTTTACCCTATCCTCAATTATTATATTCTACACCCTGTTCACTATTTTAGCTCATTTTATTTCTAATCTATTTTTTCATAGTCTAATTTATTCCCTAATCTATTCTACTTAGTATTCTACCCCATTACATTCCTATTCTACTTTAGCCTATGCTAATCTATTTACAATTATATCTAGATTTAAGAGTGTACGGTATATAAATCCATAAAATATCTATTTTTATCAAACATTTTTGTATAAAAATATAAGGTTTGCTCCAACAGCTAATCTGATCATCAGAAGGACGTCAGACGCATGCGCATTGAACATAGTCCATATATTAGAATAAAATCGCTTGCCTGCTATTCTGTTACAAGGACGAAAAATTGAGTTTTTCGGGCGACTACGAGAAGCTTGCCAGGCGAGACGTAGTCGAACCTGGCAACTCGTAGGAGTCCGAAAAAAACACTTTTCGTCCTTGTTTCATACATTGTTTTTTATTCGAATGTGTTTAGATATTAAAAAATATATAGAAAATTAAATGTAAAATGATATTATTTCCAATAATTTTTCCTTAACTGAGTTTTGGCTATGAGAATAATTGAACAATTTTTGTCGCGTCATTGTGCTCATATCAAATTAATTTAATTACCTAGTTTATTAAAAAATTACAAATTCATTACGGGCACGCCCCCAGAAATCAGAGACACGGCAAATTTGGCGTCTTTGAATTTGATTCCCAAAAAATCAAAAATGGTATATGAAAGAACCTACCTCAGTTTTAAGAATTCTAATCGGTATGCAACACTATATATACATTTAACTTTAGAGGCCATGGCCGATAAAGTACTTTATGAAGTGTTTATAAAAGTTCTACTTTTCGACTATGTTTTCTGTCCGAAAAACGACGTTTTTTGACACATTCGAATAAAAAATAGTTTATATTATTTCAACATCTTCTTGTATCAACCATTTTTATGCACGCTATAGTCTGGACACATAGTTGATAGTAGACAATATTATATTCGGAAGCATACATAATATACCATGACTCTGACAGTAATTCGTATTCGTGATTCGAAAAAATGGATTCGAATCATTTCATTTGAATCCTTGATTTGAATCCGTGATTCGGATTCGTGATTCGAATCTATTTTTTAAGGATTCGTCCCAGCTCTGCTTTAGCCGTCTAAAAAATTGAAACGTAGTAACAAGACGGGCGGCAGAAACTATCACAAAACTGAGAGTTTCTGGTGAGGATGAGTGAGCGATAGGGCTGCCGATAGGTTATAAAATAACATTCTATTTTTGTAGAGTAACGATTTTTTTCCGTTTTATATATGATCTTCCCTAAAATTGTTTCGTGATATAATCTAATGAATACAACTCTTTAAATCGCGATTATATATATTTTTCTTTATTTTAGCCATGGTTGGCAAAAAAGACGACATTACCATTTCCCATAGAACTTGTAGCCGTAGTAATTGGAACTGGGGCTAGTTACTTTATGAATTTTGATACATCTTACAATATAACTACGGTTGGATTTATTCCTACAGGGTGAGTTTAATTTAAAAAATGCTTTTGGAACCCTTTTCATAAAATTTAGAATAATAAATCTATATAAAGAGTGTATTTGGAAATGTAAAAATAAAAACACCAAAATAAAAACCCAGCTTATGCAAATAGGGAATAGATCTCCCTAAATCAAAGAAAACTTGAAAAGAAAAGAAATATTGATTGTGCCCAAACTGGGTATCTCCTAGTTAATGATCGATACCTTTATCTATTAAGCCAACGCATAAATATTCAATTAATTTTTAGATTTCCCAAATTGGCTCTTCCTGCCTTCGAACTAATTCCGGACATTTTTATGGAATCCTTAATCATTACTATGGTTTCGTACACAATTACAATGTCAATGGCGCTAATTTTTGCAAGAAAATTAATGTATGAGGTGGATTCCAATCAAGAACTCCTAGCTCTGGTTAGTTTAGTTTGTTAGTTTTTTCAAAACTGAAACACGTAAACAGAATTTCCATCAATTTATTTTTATTTTTGATACATATTTATTTGCATTTCAGGGTCTTAGTAATACCGTTGGTTCTTTCTTTTCTTGTATGCCAATTACTGCATCGCTGTCGAGGTCTATGATCCAACAAACCGTTGGAGGAGTTACCCAAATAGCTTCAATCGTTTCTAGCAGCATTCTTTTAATAGTTTTATTATGGGTCGGACCAGTATTTGAAACTTTACCCAAAGTAAGTAGTATTTAAAATTTTTTTCTCAACAACCATAACTACTGATCCTATTCTCTTTCTTTTCAGTGCGTATTAGCAAGTATAATAGTGGTAGCATTAAAAGGAATGCTTCTACAATGCAGTTCGATTCTAAAGTATTGGCGTTTGAGCAGATGGGATGCCCTGGTATGGATTATAACCTTCTGCGTGACACTATTTATTCAAATCAGTTACGGGCTAGCAGCTGGCGTTGCTATATCTCTTATGAGCATATTCATTCAAGGTTACAAACCGTACACCTGTCTATTGGGAATTGTTCCTAATACGGATCTGTATTTGGATATTAAACGATACAAGGGGGTAAGTAAAATAAAACTTCTAAGTTGATGTTTTTGAAAATATATTTCGGGGTATTTAAATTTATGTAAAAAGTAAAACAGAAGGGGTGTGTTAAGAACAAGATATTTTTAATCGTAATACACTTCAAAATTGAAGACAGAAGAAGCAGGGCGTGACTTGACAAGTCACGGTATCATCTTCACCCAAAGAAGCTTTGAAAAATAATGTTTAAATTAATTTCTATTTCATTAGTCTCACAGTAGACTTCGGCGTAAGTCAGGAGAATGCTGCAGTACGTGCCATTATTTTCTGGGATAAGGACATTTAAAAATTATACGACATGACCTATAAAACTCAAAGATGTTTTTGAACTTTAATATTCTTAAGTCGAGCACATTATTTTATCCCTTCTACAAGAATCAGATAACTTCTAGACGTCAGGAACATCATAACGAACCAGGGAATAGAAATCATCTCTTTTCAAGGGAGGATGATTGTAGAAAAGGAATATCTCAAGGAACAGAACTCAGTAAAAAGGCTATATCTTTAAGGCTTAAATGATCCTTTGGTAATGATTTACAAGAAATTGGAACGTTGCAGATGCTGAACATTCTAGAAACGCTTTGAAGGAATTCTACATGCTGGCAGCTTTTGAAAGGTTTTGACAGATTACAAAAAAATATGCATGTCGGAAGGTATCGAAGAAGCTTGCAAACTGGAAGATGTTGAAATAAAATTTTATTCTAGTACTCGGAAATGTAACAAGCTGGTCTAAAAATAATAAATTCTATCTCTAACCATAAATAAATTAGCATTGTTTCGTGTTTGAATACATTTCAATAAATGCAAAATATTTTCCGAATATGTTCATAATAAATCTAACTTTATTCAATTGCTTGATTACGAAGGTTTAAATATAGGTCTTTTATTTCTCACAAAGTCAATTTATTAGCTTCTAAGTGATTACTTCATCATCATGTACATCTAAATGGAAAGTCATGGAGTCAATGCATTGAATGGTGAAAATTATTTAATACAAAAATTAAAATTGAACAAAAAACATTTTTAAAACAGAGAACAAAAGGGGATGTTAATGATTATTTGACTTACCATGACATATCCATTACGGATACTACAATCTTATATCCGCTTTTGACAAAAATTGTATGAAACAATCAAATTTTTTTTCTTTATATGAAGCGAAAATGGACAATATAGTGAACAACTGTTTTAAACTGTCCCTTGTAATGGACATCTCTTACTTATATTAATATAGTAATATATTATATTACTTATATTAAACTTATATATTCTAAATAGAGACAACCAGCCTTTCAGTTTGAAGAAAAAATAAACTTAACTTAGCAATTCTCCAATTTAATGCCCTGTATCTCGAAAACTGGTCGTAGTATCGGATTTAAAATTCATCTCTTAAAAATTAGTGAGATTTTGCAAGAAACTACCGTCATACATTTGTGAATCTATTCAATCTAGCTCGTAAGTTGGAAAATAAAAATTCCAAAATTTTTTTCAGTATATCGTACAAATACGATAATTATCGTGCGTCTTGCAACACTGCTTTTGCCGTTGACATGATTCCTTATAATTTTAGTCCTCCTTTGCCTATAGTTGCAGTGTTGCAGAATACGGCTCCAGGGAAGCAATGACTTTTATCGTTAAACAAAATAAAATAAATAATCGTGGGTGGGGAGGGGTGCGTTCAGCTTATAGAATGGTATAGTATTTAACAATTGCTTTTAAAAACTATATTGTAATAATTTGGTACTAAGAATATAGCGGCACTAACAAAAATATAATTATTATAAAATCCCTGGTTGCTCAGGAGATCGATTGACAGCTATAAAGATGACTGAAACAAAAATTGGTCAAAAATATATAAGTTTGCATGTGGCGCAAAGACCTTTTAGTTCTTGTGACGTCATCCGATTCGTGTAGCATGAATTAATTTTTTTTAACTATTTTTTTTTATTACGTCTGTTTTAAACCAAAATAAGTATTTTTGGACTCTAGGCGTTTTATTCAAAAAATAATTTTAAAATGTTCCACTCTACTCCACATTGTTGGCAGTTGTCACTAGGTTTAATATTTATATACGAGTAAGATGTTACCATTAGTTGAATTCTTCTTCAACCCCATATTTCAATAGCTCTATTTCATACCTTCTCTGTATCTGTAACGTGTGGAGGGTGGGTTACCCCCATGGCACTTAGGCCTCATTAGGCCCATTGTGTATCCTCCTGAGATGATAAGCACCTCCTAGCTCGTAAACCAGCATACATTGTTGATGGATACTTCGGTGAAAGCTTCGTGACATTCTAGTACTAACCCTGAGTAAATGCGTGGTCTGTTCAGGGTGAGTAGTGCTTCTCTGGTATCTATATAGTTGAGCATGTTCCTTCCAGTGATATTGTATCTGGTTATTTCTTTTACTGCTATGAGAATCCTCGTTAGCTCTGTTTTAACTACACTGGCACTATTGCTCACAGCCCATTTTATGTTTAGGTTTAAGAATCTGGAGTATATTCCACATCCTAAGCCTTGTTTTGTTGTAGAACCGTCGCGTCGGTGTAGATATGAATTGTACCTGCCACTTCCGGCTCTTCTATTTGTTCTATTATAACTTTATAGGGCTTATGGAAGATATATCTCAGTGAGATGGAGTCCATGTTCGCTTGAAGCAGTGGGAGCGTATCCAGAGCCTCCTGCCAAAAGTGACGTCTCACCTCACCAGATCCTACATCAGGATCTATTCTGACCGTGCGGAGGCATGTCATTGTCGTCAAAGCAACCTCCTCGATGTAAATATCAAGGAGAGTGAGACTAAGAATGACTTCCATTTCTCCAGTCGGTGTTGTTTTCATGGCTCCTGTTATGTTGAGACATGTTGTTCTTTGAATTTGTTCTAGTTTACGGATAGTTGTTAATTTTTGGGTTTTCGATACCCAGACAACTGTACCGTACGTTAGCATAGGTCTTATGATAGCCGTGTAAGTCCATGCGACGACTCTGGAGGAGAAACTCCAGGTGCGCCCCACGGTTCGGCGGCATTGTTCATAAGCAATGTATGTATGCTCTTTTAACTCTGTTTTCTAAATGCGAGTTCCATGTTAACTTGTTTTCAAAGGCGAGACCTAGGTACTTCACCTCTGTTGCAAAGTTTAGTTTCGTGTTTAGGAGTTCTGGAGGTTTTAATTCCATTTTTATCCTTTTCCTTGTATAAAGGATCATTTCTGTCTTCTTACGATTGATAGACAGTGAATGGTCCATGCACCACTGTTCTCTAATTTTTAGAGCTACTTGCTTTCTTTCGCAGAGTATGTTCTCAAAATTCCCTGTTTGCAGAATGACCAGATCATCTGCATATGCTATTGTGTAGTGACTGTCATTATTGAGGCGGCTGTTGAGGGTGTCGAGGACCATATTCCACAGTAGAGGTGATAGCACCTCTCCCTGTGGCCATCCCCTCGTAACCAAACATCTTATATTCACATCTCTTACACTTATGTTTACTGCTTGCTTTGAGAGCAAGTTATGTATCCACCCACTAACCATTTGCGGAACATTCCTGTTGGTTAATGAGTGTATTATCTTTGGGAAGGTGGTTTTATCAAAAGCATCTTATACCTTATTTTCTCTTATATTTCTGTTCACGTATTTCGTTTCTTCAGAAAGAATTTTCCTGGCTTGGCACATAATTTAAACTCCTCCCTTCTCCATTTTGTCAACCATCTTTTACATCATTTCCGTTTTCTGCTACATAATTTGTCTTTTGATTGCCGGGTTCAATTTCGATACAATATATTCATATTTTCTTGTTTCGTGTCTATTCTCTCTTTATTAGATATAATTTACTATTTATAATTTCAATTTATTCACTTTTAATTATATTTCTTTATTTTCCTTAAGCCATCTATACTCACTGAGTAAACATCAGGTAAATATCTACATTAGATTACAGATTTTCTAGTTGGTAACTTATTTGGTTTTACCGTTTACTATCTTATCTCTATAAAAAATTTTGTTCATTAATTCCACTACATTTTACTTTTTAATTTATCCAGTCCTGCTTTTCTTAAAATTTTACTATGTTTGTTCGTAACTTGTTTTGTTATTGTTTTAAGTAAAATCAAATATTGTTTTTGGTTCCTCCAACCTTAAGTAGGCACTTACAGTTTGGTTAACTTTTAAACCGTTAAAATAAAAAAATATCTCGGACATAATTTTTTATATATATATTCACACTGACTTTTTAACCTTGTATCGTAAAATTTATGACAAATTATTATTAACCTCTCCTTTTGTTCTTTGTTTAAATTTTCTTTTTTTTTTCAACTTTCATTTTTGTATTTAATAATTTTCATTTTTCAATACATTGATTCCATGACTTTCCATTTACGTGTGCCTGATGATGAAACTTCGAAACGGGTCTCCAATAAATTGACGTTGAAAAAATAAAAGACCTTTCTTCACACCTTCATACTCAACCCCAACAACTCACATAGGGCTACCCTCACCCCTAATATATTTAATTGTATGATTCTAGGCCAAAGAAATAGAAGGTGTGAAAATCTTTCACTATTCCGGAGGATTAAGTTTTGCATCGAGATCCAGTTTTAAAGACTTGCTTGTCAAGAAAACATACATCGACGCAGCAGCAGTACTTAGGAGAAGAGTAAAATTAACTGAGAAAGGAATGCAAGATGACGAAGAGTTCCTTGTAAAGTGTATAATTCTAGACTTTTCTAGTCTGACGTTCGTAGATCCAGCTGGGGTAGATTTTATTAGAGGTTTGCAAGCTGATTACAAGCAGTTGGGGATTTATATGCTGATATCTGGATGTTCTGGTAAGTTTTTTCTTGGTTGTCCAAATTTTTGTACACAATTTAGAGTACAGAAGAAATGTTGAATTTTCGCTTTATTTCAGGTCCAGTGTTCGAAGTGATGCATAAGTGTGATGAAATAGAGAAAAAGGAAAAGAAATTTCTAATTTTCCCCACTGTCCATGATGCAGTATTATACGCCCAAGTCAATGTCTTCTCGAAAGACAGATAACTTCAAAACAGTACTTAGTTTAAACCAAAAATTTTATTATAAACCTTTTAATAAATTAAAACCCGGTTGCAAGAACGTTCATTCAAATTTATGAGTATCATAAACTATGAGATATGTTTAGAGTGTGAGTAATTTCAAGCTCTGTCAAAGTTTATTAGGCTCATACATTTTAATGTACATTGTTGCAACCGGCTGTAAGTATTAAGCTAGGTATATAAAATACGAGAAACATTCCTATACCTTTTATAAAATAAAGGCAAGATAACATGTAGATTAAATCTGTCATTGTTGAATTTTAAATTATTTATCGTTAAATATTTGGATAAATATGATCAATTACAAGAAAAACAGAAGGCTGTTTTCAGTCTGTGTCGCAAGATATGGAATTTTAAATAATCATTTTTCTTTAAAAATATTTTTTTTATCTCTTTTAGTGTTACTTGTTCAATGTTGCTAATACATGGAATGTCAATAGTCAAATATCAATTGTTATACTTCATATTTCATATGTTAAATGTCCAATTTCAATAAACACTAGCAGGGAAATCAGAGTACGTAACTTTGACATTTATATTGTATTTAAAAAAAAATTAAATTATTTTTTAGGATTTTGAATTGAAATAGTTTTGTGATAATTACCCAAATTAATAGACACGTAAGCAAAAATACCTAGTTATAAGTAATAGATAATTTGCTAAGCAAATATGTTTTTAATGTGAGAGTATACTTTTCAAATGTGGTTGCAATTTGTGATATTTTAGACGGTTTTAAAATATACAAAACTATTTTTTTTTAATGCTAGGCTTCTATTGGATGATGAGTATGTGTTTTACGAATGAGTGCTACGAGGATTGTTAAATAAGTATGTGAAAATCACACATATTTTTCAGATTTCAAATCTAACGAAAATTAAACAATACTAAATTTGGAACGTATTTAATTTTTGGAATTTTCAGCGTTTCTTCAGATACTGACAAAACAATTCTCGTATGTTTGTTTTTGATGAGTTAAACTCTTAATTGATATTTTAGCCAGTATATGTTTAGTATACTGTGATTTTTAGTGTGTTGCCTAAGATTTTTTGGTTGCACTATGTGATGTTACAAATTTTTATAGAGTATCATCTGAAACAAAATATTATTTCTAATATCTAGGTACCTACTGTATTTTGACCAAAATATATTTTCGTACTTAGAAGAAAATAAATAAGTAATTTTAAAATATTTACAATGAATATTTTTGTTTTGATGTGATGCAAAAACATGAAAAATAGACACACAGCGAAATTTTATATTTAAATTATTAAATCTGAACTGATTTGCTAAACTTTATATACATTACTGTTGTCTATATCGTATTTTTGTATTTTTTAGTTTCGAAAACTAGAAAGACTCAATATTAAAATAAATTGTCCTAAAATAATAATTGTTGTGTACATAATTTTATTCTTGTTAAATGCTGAAAAAATGCAATGTTAATAAAACTATTTTTTCAAGTTTTTCGTTTCATTTCGATCAACCCTAAAAAAAGATGCTTAAGATATTTTAAGCCGGTGAAAAATATTAATTATTATCTACCGTGAGTTCGGTATTACACCTGAAGATGTTAATGTTGGATCACATCATTTTCGAGAAATTTGAGCTTATATTTATTTAAAAATTAAAAATAATTCCAAACTCAAGATCGATACATAAAATAAATGAAAACAAAAAAGTATCTAAGCCATGTATCACAATATAATACCGGTGACCGTTTCCCTTCGGAAAACTATTTGGCTAATACCGCAACAGGTATTGGATTATATAGAAAGAAAAACGACACGGATATAACACTCCAAGTTTGACTGCTTACTAAGGAAAACGTCATTCTTGGACCGATTTCGTCCTTATTAGGACTCGTCAGCAAGCAACAGACAATCTCGATCCCAGTCTCTAATGGGGAGTTTCTGCAGACTACACCGAATATACAAGGTAAGTCAGGAGGAATGGCATAAACTCCAAGCGTGTATTATAGATAGTGGCGGATTTAGGGAGGAGGCGCCCCCTAGAGTTTTTCTAAAAAAAAGGACAAGTATATAACGTCATTTGTCTAAATGGATTTAACGTCTTCGTTTCCAAAACTTCGACTCCCATTATTTTCCAAATATTTACAAATGTCTTAGATTTCTATAACAACCCTTACAGCACAAACACATTTCGGAAATATTTCAAAAATGTTACATTGAAACATTTGTAATTTGTATAAATATTACGAAACATCCCAGAAACATTTCTCAAATGTGCCTGAAACGTAAAAATGTCCTGTAAATATATTTCACAGTAATATTTCTGAAATGAAAATTTAAAATCTTTTTGAAATATTAAATAGTAATATTTCAGAAATGTATTCTAGTTTTTTTTTAAACACTAGGATACAAAAAATAAAAATATACATGTGTATTTAAAATACATAAAACATAGGTTCTTAAACAAACAAATAAATAAATAATTTTTATACATTTCATATATCTAATATAAAAGCGAATCGCTTCATTTCCACTAATTCCTTTAAATGCACTAATCTGAAACGAATAGGTTTTTTTAAATGCCCCAAGTAAAAAAAAACTACGATTATTACAATCTGATCAATAAGGTCAATTAGCAATTTTAATCTAACCTAGGGATGAAAAACTTCATAAACTAAGATTCTGCTCACTAGTGTACCATAGAGTCTAATTATTTTGTTACACTATCGTTAATGTATAACACTTAACCGCATTATGCTCTGCTTTAATCTAACATCACTGAACTAACTCAAAAGGCTTGGTTTTTTTGAGTCTTCTTTTTAGATTGGCATTGTTGAGGAGCTGGATAGTCTCAAGGTTTCCATGTTGGAGCAGTTGTTGTTGGTGACTACTGGCAAATTTTTGTATTGCATTTTCAACAGTCTCCACTTTAAGGTCCATATCAAGATAAGTATTGCGGCAGTACCAGGGTGCATCGACGATGTTCCTTAATACTTTATTCTGGAAACGTTGAATAACTTGAATGTTACTTTTACTGGCACAGCCCCAAAGCTGGCGAATTGCTTCATTTCCACGAATTCCTTTAAATGCACTTATCTGAAACAAATTATAGGTAATTAAAAAGGATTTATACCAATTATTTGATTAACAATACTTTTATTAATTATTTAAATTAACTATAATAAAGCAATCAATACTCATTTCTTAACAAAACATATGACGTCCGCTTTTCAATCGGCTGTAGATCTAATAAATAAAACTGATGTAATACTCATCTCAATTTCTAAAGATACATTTTGCTTCCCATATAACAAAAGCACAACTTATAAATAAAAAATAAAAGGAAATGGCAAAAACCGACAACTCCAATAATTATTTAGAGTATAGCTTCTATGGAATATAGGGTTGTCTCTGGCTGGACAAGAAATAAAATAACTACATATCCCATATCCCATCTTCTTACAAATCAGAAATTCTTCATTAAGTGTTGGCCTTTTACAACATAATCTGTTTAGTTACCTTTTTTGTAACATGTATACCATGTTTCAAAAACATTTTAAGTGAAATATTTAACTAAAATATTTCAGAAACTTGTGCTTGAAATGTTATATGTTAAAAACGTTTGAAATATTACTGAAACACTTCTAAAATATTGTGTGCTGTATGGGAACTATAAAGAAATAAATCTCTACTCTACGGCTTTAAAAAAATACGACCACATTTTAAAATCTACTCAAGGTCTACCATGCTAGAAGACCGCCTTAGTTTAGCTTTACTATATACATAATAATATATAGTCAGGAGTTAAAGGGGACAGCTCCTAATTTTAGGCAGGAATTAGACAAGAAAGAAGAAAAAAAGCTTTTCAAACTCAATTTCAAAAATAAAATATAAGGTACCAATATCTTTGTTTTTTGGGGAAAATTCATTTAATTTGTAAAATGGCTGAGTTAATTTATTAATGAATTTATAAATCGCAGCTTTGTAAACAACATTCTTACAACTCTTTGTAGTTAGTTGTTTTTTGTAACCGCTAAAACTTTTTTCTGTTCGTCTATTGTTTCTTATGACTGCATTTTTTCTCTTCAAATATTTTTTTTAACTGCTGGCGCATTTATGATATTAAGTTTTTTTGTGACTACTAGAGCTTTTTTTGCTTTACGCGCTAACAGGTACGTAAGGCATTAGTCTCCATTGGTTTCTGTAACCTTAGAAAATCATATAAATTGGAGTAAAATATGCCACAAACTTACAGTGGTAGAGCTAAATCACTACCTACATAAAAGGAACACTTGTAGATAAATGAAGGGGATAAACCTTCAACGACTTCAATGAATTCGTGGCCATCTTTTCTCTCTTTCTCTCATGTGTTTCAAGTAGAGAAAAAATTTTAATTCTTCTTTCACTTATTTTTAGATAAGTTTGTCTTACTTTGTTGCATTAAGTAAAACAACCAATGTTTTGTATTGAATTTTTTTTTTTAATTTTACAAATTTTCGACTTTATTATGGATTTCCAAGTTAGGTATGCAGATTTTATAAAGAACAATTCATGTTTTATAGCAAGATACTCGCTGCTATATACTCGAGTACTCGAGAGCATCATGTCTGATTTCTCTCAACTTTTCTTCTGGGTTTGTACTTGAACTGGTGGTTAGATTTCCAGATATATTCAAGCCCGTTGAAAAGAATTAACAGCTTGAATTTGATGTTTTTTTTTTATATAGACGTACCATGTACCTAAGCTATAAATTCACTTTTTTATAAAATTTCAGGTGTTATATTTTCTTCTTTAGACCAGTGTGTAGTATTTACTTTTGTTTCTAAAATTGCTAGATTGTCATCGGGTACAAAGGAAACCAAAAATATAATATTTTTAAAATGTATTTTTAGTTCGATTAAGTACATTATTACCCAAAAGTTAGTTTTGTATATCTCTTTTACAATTATTTGGTGTAAAATGTAACTCTACATTAGGTTAAATGTTTCTTCTCGTTTGCAACGATTTATCGGCCATTCTTTGTTTATATTGTAGTTAAACCATTTTGTATTAGGTACCTAATGAATGAAATATTAAATTTACACTAGGCATTGTAATCTGAATCAAAGACAATGGTTTAGAAAATAGTTTTCTAGTTTATAGAGGACCCTTGCTAAATCTACTCAAATGTATAAATAATAACTATTTATAAAATAATATCTGCAAGTTAAAAAATAACCACCAAAACATGAGAAATGACAAGAAAAAGTGACAAATGACAAGTAACAATTGACATAAACTTAAACGATCCGAATTCAGATTGTGATGTTCACAGTACTTCTCGTGGATATTTTTTTAACTAAATTATTTTAGTAGATAAGTAACAAATATAAGTTTTGCGAGGTTCTGATTTCCCTCACCAACTTCTCATGAACGTTGCATTTACGTTGTATAATAATGTTGTTACTTTCCCTTAAAGCAACGTCGCCGAAAAGCTTGGCAACGTTATGTGCTAGCTGGGGTATTTTCTACCATCCAAATAAATAGCTCGTACATTATTATAATATTACTTTTTGCCTGTAAATTACTCCTATTTCGACTTCTTTCCCTTCTTATTTTATACTCCTTTGAAAGTATCTGTTTCTGTAACCAACCCAATATCTTATAGAATCTTTTAGAATCAGATACTCCGTAACAATGCAATGCTGTAGTTTCAAGCTTGATACTCATTTACCATGGTGAATTCTTATTCAAAGAGGTGCTAGATTCGTATTGGTCAAAATTATAATAGTCATTGACCTACAATGACGATTATGATTCCACATTTGAATTTCTTAAAATCCATGTTGCAGGTAAGAAATCACAACCAACCCTCAAAAAAAGTTGATGTCGCCCTAGCCTTACAAATTTAATTTATAAAAGAAGATATTTTACTTGGATTTTTTTGTTTTTGTGGGTCATCTTCTTTCTGTAAAATACATTTTAGCACTGTTTGGTTAAAGATACTTTATTGTTAAAGGAAATAGGTAAAGAAAACATATTGTTTTTTTAATTTATTCTACCATCATAGGTTCCAATTTGCTCAAATCCATCCACATTGCCATAGATGTCCGTACCGGATATTGTATGCAATCGTTTGGAATTAAGTGTATCACTGATTTTTTGTCCTCTATCTTTGGATTTTACAGTTTTTTCCTTCAAGCCTCAGTGGCATTAAGTCTTTAACTAATGTCTGACGACCCATTTGTTTTTCTGATATCTATTATAGCATACGTGTTGTCTTCAAAATTTGTTTTTC